TATTTATTTATTTAGTCATTTATTCGTTCATCCATCCATCCATGCATCCATCCATCCATCCATCCATCCATCCATCTATCCATCCATCCATCCATTTTCTTCTGCCCGATCTACACACACTTCGTCCAGCTTCTCTTTTAAGGAACTTGCAGAATTGTCCTTTGCATTAGATTTCTAAAGGTGCAATGACTCACATTTCTCTAGATTTCTAAGTAAAGTTCCAAGAGTAACTAGAACTTGTCCGACCAGTTTAAAGTGATGTGACCCCTCCCGCAGCATAAATCCCATAGATTACTTTTCCCACTGCTGTACTCTGTTCTGTTGACATGACTCCACCTATCTGCAAACTTATTGTTTCTGATTTTGGTTAATACAATAGCAAATCAGTAGCAAAGGTGCATAGAGTTGCAGATGAAATGGGGAAAAATTAGAAAAGGTTTTCTTTTACATGGACTACAATGCTTGTAGGTGTGGTTTGTGGGTATAAAGCACTTTCTCCTTTATACAGTATATCACTCGCTGTTTAACTTTGCTGCCAGCAAGTCTATTGCTGCAGAGTTAAACTACAGACTTTACAAAAGCAGGAAGAGGACAATTCAGATAAGAAGGAGATTTTTGTGTTTGTTTGTTTTGTTTCTCCTTCTGCTGTCTGTTTTGCCTCCTTTAACCATGTGGATTTATAATTTTTTGCTGAGCTTTGACCTAAAAGGGATTTTCTTGTTTGGTTTATTATTCCTGTTGATAGCTGACTATCTGAAGAACAAGAAACCATCAAACTTTCCTCCTGGACCCAGAGCTCTTCCCTTTGTGGGAAATATCTTGAATTTGGACAGCAAGCAGCCGCATGTTCATTTCACCAAGGTATTAACACACACTAAGCGCTTACATTGATATCTGCTCAAACTTTCCTATAACTTCATGAGAAATATTAATAAAGATGTTTTCAGCAGTGTCAATATGTTTTCTCCTTATATGAGCTAATTTCATTGGCTAGAAGCTGCTCGACTCTATCGAGTGTAGATTGCTTTGGTTTGAGTTCACCAAAAGGTCAACACTTTTGCAGCTGAATTTTTGCAGGTGAATTTTTTGCATTTGAATTTTTGCAGCTGAATTTTTGCAGGTGAATTTTTTGCAAGTGAATTTTTTGCAGCTGAATTTTTGCAGGTGGATTTTTTGCAAGTGAATTTTTTGCAGTTGAATTTTTGCAGCTGAATTTTTGCAGCTGAATTTTTTGCAGGTGAATTTTTTGCAGTTGATTTTTTGCAGCTGAATTTTTGCAGCTAAATTTTTTGCAGGTGAATTTTTTGCAGTTGAATTTTTGCAGCTGAATTTTTGCAGCTGAATTTTTTGCAGGTGAATTTTTTGCAGTTGATTTTTTGCAGCTGAATTTTTGCAGCTAAATTTTTTGCAGGTGAATTTTTTGCAGTTGAATTTTTGCAGCTGAATTTTTGCAGCTGA